GGCGTCTTCGATACTAGTAATTACTCCTCCCTTCCATCTCAGCATCAATGAGCACACCTGGGCAGAGAGAACAACACTGACTGCATACATCTGCGGACTTGAACCAAATTCGCCGACCCAACGTGCCAAAGGCGTGCTAAAGTCTCCTGTGGCACGTTTCGATTGGCTTAATCCGTGCAAGCGCGGGTGGCGGCCTCTGGGGGTCCCAGCACGAAAAGTACCCTGGGCGGTCCCCAGCCAGGTCCCAGTCGGTCGGTGCCACGGATGTCAGAATTCCTCGCGGCGGCCTTCAGGGCCCCAAAGAGCGCCCCAGGAGCGCCCGGAGGGACCCCAAGGGAGCTCCAAGAGGTCCTTCCAGTCGGGATCCGTAGATGGCAGGTTCCACGATGGCCTCCACTCCCAAAAGGCTTCAAGATAGCCTCAGCTCTAAGGGGCACCCAAGAGGCCAAAATTAATTGATGTTGTTTGGATGTTTGATAGAGTTCGGCGTTACCGCCTTTTCAGTCTTCCGACCGCCTGACACCTAGGGCAGCTATCTTCGCTCTTCACGCTCCGCGAAGCGCGAAGCGCGAAGCGCGATCATCTTCGCGCTTTCGTGCCCCTCCCCCCCGAACGGGATGAGGGACTCGCGCCTCGCTCTGAAACCGCCCAGACCGCGAAGCGCGAAGCGCGACTCGCTTCGCGCCCCAGGGTATCGACTGTTCAGTCTTCCGACCGCCCGACACGGCCCACTCAGCCAACACTGGCACAATTCGACCCGAGAGGCCCACAGGACGGCCACGAGACGGCCGCGGGACGGCCCAAGAAGGCCTCAAGACGGCCACCCAGAGGCCTGCCAAGAAGCTCCCAACCCCCCAAATAAAGGGCCCGAAGAGGGGGAACCCAAACTGAAATGTCGAATCCTTTCCCTGCGAGCACTTCCAGGGACCTCCAAGAATCCCCCGAGAGGCCTCCCGAGGCCCCCAAAACGAGGCCGCAAGAGACCCCCAAGATGCCCCCGAGAGGCCCCACGAGGCCGCCAAAACGCCCCCGCAACCACGCAGGCGAGTGCCAGCGATGCTACAATGAGCCAAGAGGCTCCCAAGAGGCGCAAGAGGGCCTCAAGGGGAGTCCAAGAGGTGCCCAAGAGGGGGAGCACGAACAGCCATTTCGAGCCCTCGGCCACGAGACGCCCATGACTGCTCACGCAGCACTTCAAGGAAACTACCACCACCTATCAGCGCTGCAATCGGCGGTGGACAAACCTCCCTTTAGTAGACCTCCCCTTAGTGAAAACGGCCTGGGACCGAAACCGACGGACCTCGACCCGCAAAAATGACGGCCGCGATGCCCTCTCGCGAACCGAAAAACGGCCACTTCCTTAATCCACGCGTCAGGGTAGGATGTCTGTCCACCCCCGACGCAGTGGCAACGAACACGCGGGCAGACGCCCACGATGGAACAGTCTGGGCCGGCGGAATGAGCGAAGCGGAAAAAATAAAACGCTACCGAGGAACCCCACGTACTTCGTATCAACTCTTGTCTTAGCACAGCTGACGTGCAGCATACGTGGATGATGCTTGGTTGTCAAGAAACTGCCACGCCTGCTGTGCCGTCAACGACCAGGGCGGATAGCGATCCCACCCCCTGCGCACCCCCTGTGACGTCGAGGAAATGCCACGCCTGCCATGTCCTGCGAGCCTGCATCGCGTAGCGCCCCCAACCCCAGCGCACCCTCTGTGCCGCCGAAGAAATGCCACGCCCTGCGAGCCTGCAACGCATAGCGCTCCCACCCCCAGCGCACCCCCTGTGGTGTCGAGGGGATGTCATGCCTGCCATGCCCTGCGAGCGTGCAAGGCATAGGGGCCGCGGTGAGAGACCACCCCCTGCACACCCCCTGTGGCGACGAGAAAATGCCACGCTTGCTTACCCTGGACGACCGCGGCGCATAACAGGCGCACTGAGGGATCACCCCCTGAGCACCCCCTATGGTGTCGACAAAGTGCCACGCCTGCTATACCTGGACGACTGGGGCGTACAGAGACCGCGGTGAAGGACCACCCCTGCGCACCCCTTATGGTGCCGAAAAAGTACCACGCCTGCTTTACCTGGACGACTGGGGCATACAGAGACCGCGGTGAAGGACCACCCCTGCGCACCCCCTATGGTGTCGAAAAAGTGCCACGCCTGCTTTACCTGGACGACTGGGGCGCACGGCGGGCTCGCTGAGGGACCACCCCCTGCGCACTCCCTGCGGTGTCGAGAAAATGCCACGCCTGCTATGCCCGAGACGACTGGGGCGCACGGCGGGCGCGGTGAATGACCAACCCCTCCGCACCCGCTATGGCGTCGAGAGACTGCCACGCCTGCTATGCCCAGGACGACTGGGGCGTACAGAGACGGCGGTGAAGGTCCACCCCCTGCGCACCCCTGATGGTGTCGAGAAAGTACCACGCCTGCTATACCTGGACAACCGCTGCGTATAGAGACCGTGGTGAGGGACCACTCCCTGCGCACCCCCGATGGTATCGAGAAAATGCCACGCCTGCTGTGCATGGACGACCGGGGCGTACAGAGACCGTGGTGAAGGCCCACCCCCTGCGCACCCCCGATGGTGTCGAGAAAGTGCCACGCCTGCTATACCTGGACAACCGCTGCGTATAGAGACCGTGGTGAGGGACCACCTCCTGCGCACCCCCGATGGTATCGAGAAAATGCCACGCCTGCTGTGCATGGACGACCGGGGCGTACAGAGACCGTGGTGAAGGTCCACCCCCTGCGCACCCCCAATGGTGTCGAGAAAGTGCCACGCCTGCTATACCTGGACAACCGCTGCGTATAGAGACCGTGGTGAGGGACCACCCCCTGCGCACCCCCGATGGTGTCGAGAAAGTGCCACGCCTGCTATACCCTGGACGACCGGGGCGCATAGAGGCCGCGGTGAGGGACCGCCCTCTGCGCACTGGACGACTGGGGCGCATAGAGGCCGCGATGAGGGAAAACCTCCTGCGAACTCCCTACGGTGTCGAGAAAATGCCACGCCTGCTATGCCTGGACGACTGGGGTGTATAAAGACCGCGGCGAGGGACCCCCTGCGCACCCCCTATGTCGAGAAAGTGCCACGCCTGCTGTGCCTGGACGTCTGGGGCGTATAGAGACCGCGGTGTAGGACCACCCCCTGCGCACCCCCTAATTATGTTGTCGAGAAAGTGCCACGCCTGCTACGCCTGGACGACTGGGGCGTGTATAGAGACGCGGTGTAGGACCACCCCCTGCGCACCCCCTAAATGGTGTCGAGAAAGTGCACGCCTGCTACGCCTGGACGACTGGGGCGTGTATAGAGACCGCGGTGTAGGACCACCCCCTGCGCACCCCCTAATTATGTTGTCGAGAAAGTGCCACGCCTGCTACGCCTGGACGACTGGGGCGTGATAGAGACCGCGGTGAGGGACTACCCCCTGCGCACCCCCTATGATGTCGACAAAGTGCCACGCCTGCTATACTGGACGACTGGGGCGTACAGAGACCGCGGTGAAGGACCACCCTCGCGCACCCCCGATGGTGTCAAGAAAGGGCTACGCCTGCTATACATGGACGACTGGGGCGTACAGAGACCGCGGTGAAGGACCACCCCCTGCGCACCCCTTATGGTGTCGAGAAATTGCCACGCCTGCTACGCCTGGACGACCGGGGCGTGTAGAGACCGCGGTGATGGAACACCCCCTACGCACTCCCTATGGTGTCGAAAAAACACCACGCCTGCTGTGTGTGAACGACTGGGGCGTATACAGAGACCGCGGTGAGGGACCACCCTCTGCGCACCCCCGATTGTGTCGAGAAAGTGCCACGCCTGCTTTGCCCTGGACGACTGGGGCGCATAGAGACCGCGGTGAGGGACCACCCCCTGCGCATCCCGATGGGGCTGGAGAAAGTGCCACGCCTGCTGTGCCAGGACAACTGAGGCGCATAGAGGCCGCGGTGAGGGACCACCCCCTGCGCACCCCCGTGTGGTGTCGAGATAGTACCACGCCTGCCGTGCCCTGCGAGCCTGGAGCGTATAGAGACCGCGCTCAGGGACCACCCCCTGCGCACCCCCTCTGGTGTCAAGAAAGTGCCACGCCTGCCGTGCTATACGAGCCTGGAGCGTATAGAGACCGCGCTGTGAGTGCACGAGAGTGACTAGGAGTGAGTCGGTTGCGTCGGTGCCATGTGTATGTGTAAGATCTGTGTCAGGCTGTATGTGGACGTGTGCCTCATGTGGGTGCCCAGTATGTGGTGCATGCGTCTTGGGTGTATGATGCAGTGAACACGCCAGGTGTGCACTAGCGTTAGGTCGGGTATGTTCCCGTGCAGGAGGATTTCAGACGAAAAAGAAAAGTTAGTCCAAACATACTCCGAAAGAGTCAAATAATGATAGAAAAGTAACTATGTTTGGACTATGTTTGAATATTCCTTTGTAGAGGGACAGGCCCGACTTTAGACGCGTGTCTCATGTACGTGCCGCGCATGCGGAAGAGGAGGGAGAGGAGAGGGACGAGGGAGGGAGGTGTGTTTTGGGAGACGCTGGTGCGACGCGGCAGGGAAAAAACATAGCCCCTCGAAACATGTGGGGAATGACCTGAACGATTCCATGGCCGTGTGATGAACAATGGCACCGATGGTAGAAAACGTGACCATCACCGCAGAAGGGGAAAGAGAAGGAGCAGACAAGACACGGACATGGTCACGGACATGGTCCGTGCCTTGCACCGCGGTGGTGCTGCAGGGTGGGGCTGAAGTTCCGAGAGAAACAGTGGCGAACGAAAGTAAGAGGAATCACTGCAACGCCGCAGGGCACATATCGGAAGGAGGAAGCGAAGGCAGAACGGCAAGGGGAAGAGGAGGAGGAGGAGCAGCAGCAGCAGGAGGAGAAGGAGCAGGAGGAGCAGGAGGACCAGGAGGGGGAGGAGCAGGAGAGAGGAGGGAGGAAAGAGCACCAGGAGCAAGACCACGACGACTACCACGACGCGGGGCGCAAGGGCCTGCTGCGCCAGGCGCTGCCTCTGGACGTAGAGTTGCATCGCCTCGTAGCGGCACCTCGCGGGGTCCGCGGCGCTCCAGCACGGGTCGAGCACCTGGAGGCGCAGCGCCAGGCCCCCCCTGCGCCAGGAAAGCCCCGTTTCCGCCGCCCTGCCGCCCCCACCCCTGCTCCCCGCCCCTCCTCCATCCCCCCTCGCCGCCCCTCCTCGCCCTTCCCCGCGGGCCCACACACCCTCGCCCCTCCTCGCCCCCATCTGGCCCCCTCCCGGGCCCCGATCTCGCCCCCCTCCCCCGAAGGCCGGTCAGCATCGAATCGGTCGAACCGGGAAGGCGGATCGGATCGGATCGGAACGCGCGGCGGATCGGGCTGCATCGGCAGCACCGAATCGGAGTCAGACCGGGTTGGCTGGCCGGGCCAGGTGGCACAACGGCGCCGCGCAGACATCGGGCCGCATCGGATCGCGTCGAACATCGGAATCGAGCGAGGTCGGGCCGGCAGAGATCGACATGGAATCGGATCGACTGGCTGGGCATGAACCCAGCCTTTCTTTCTTTGCCAAGTCATGAGGCGCACAGCTGAGACGTTTTAGGAGAGGCTGCCAGCTAGGGAGGACGATGGACGGCGGCGGCAATAAGATGCCGCAACATAGCCCCTCCTCCGAAGCCCCCACCTCGCACCTCCTCGCCACCGCCCCGCCCTACTAATCCGCCTGTGGCGGCGCGCCCCGGGAGGTGGCGCCCGGGGGGCGGCCTGGCACGACGGCGGGGAGACGCCTGTCCGCAGCCCTCCTGGGTTCCGAGAGACCTTGTCGGCAGCCTCAGGGCGCTCCTTCAGAGGGCCCCTGACCTCTGGGGTGGCCACCCCCCCCCCCCGCGCCGCCCCCCCTTTCTGCGCGCCGCCGAGCCCTCCCCCGTCGGCGCTTCTGCCGCATCTTCGACTCCCGCCCCCCCCCCCCGGCTAAAGAGCCCATAAAAACGCACGCGCCCAACCACGCACATGAATGCGGCCCCGCCGCCTGCGAGACTGGCCGACCAGCCTCGTGCGCGATACGAAGGTTCGCGCCATGCGTACTTTCGAAACCAACAGTCAAATGTTCGCATGTCCAGCATTACATCTCGAAGTCGAAAATGGCTGCGATGTGAAGCGCGAGAGACATGCTAGCATGTGCGGGGTACCAGAATTCCCAAACCGTCTACCCCAGCGTTCTGCTAGAGTGTGGTGGCCCAATCAAAAGTGGCCACCAGGTCGCTGCAGCGCGCACGACAAGCATGGAGCTGAAAATGAAAGCCATGCAAGAAAATGATTGGGGAAGCGCGCTGGCCGCACGAAGCTCCGCCTCGTGTAAATGGCGCCAAGGAGGAAACTGAACCTTGCCGATGGGCGGAACTCATCAGAAGCCTGGCCCCGACAAGAAATGCGCCAGCCACGGCCGGCGAGAGGGCCTTGGTTGCCCCCGTCACAGCTGCGCTGGAGTCGCACGGGGTTGGGGGTGTCGAAGCGGAAGCCGGCAGCGAAGTCCGACGTGAAATCCACTCGCTCTTGGATCGCCTTCGTCGCCAGCAGGTCGGCGGCGACGCTGCCCTCCCTGAGGTTGTGTCGGAACCAAAATCCACCGCGCTGGGCCGCGCGGAAGTGGCGTTCGCCCCAGAGCTCCCAGAGGTGCGTCTGCAGCGTGGACACCAAAACTTTGTAGCAAGGCGACTTGACCCACGGCGCGCCACCGCTCCAGCCGACCACCCTCGAGTTGCCACCCCAGTAGTCCACGAGGACACATCACCTGGATGGTTGTCCCCAGACAACGGGTAGATCGACGTAGACGCGTCTGCGCTTCCGCTTCCCCTCGAAGCCAAACGGGATAATTGAGTTCGTTCGCCCATTTTTCTCTGAGATGGTCGCCGTCGAGATGCCTCTGGCGCGGCGCGTTGCACGCGAAATCGCCCTCCTCATTGGTCCATTGTGCCTGGTGAGCGCGCGTTCGCCAGCTGGCCCGCAGTAGAGATTAAATGGATTCTCCAGCGTCGAACTGCGTTTCCACCCCTTCCAGTGGACCCATCTCCGCAGCGCGCCGCCCTCGCCCAGGGATTGGCCAGAGCCCCCAAGGCACGGCATCTTCCCTGTATAACCACTCATCCCCCGGGTTGGCGCTGAAGACTGCATTGACCCACCGGGCCTGCATCGGACGCAGCTCCGGGGACTGGGCCAGCCCAGGGGCGGGACCCTAAAGATGCGCGGCAAAACGATGGACACGGGGGAGCACCAACTCCACCACGCTTTTCTGGCAGCTCTGTCTGCGCGACAGTCTTGCCGATTTCGCGGCACGGCGCGCGCCATCGATCCATTCCTCTCTGGGCCGCCGGGGGGGCCGCGCCGTGCGTCGCAGGAAACAGCCTTCGACATGCCAGAACCGTTGGAGCACGCACATAGATGCGAACCACTCCTCGCAGCCGTAGAGAAGACGCGGAACCACTCATTCGCTGAAGCGGCGGAGCCGTTCATTGCGGGGAAGAGCAGCACGGCGAATGGCCGGCTCCGACCAGAAGAGTTCGATTGCTCTGCTGACGCGATGGCCCACGGCTGCTTTCGCGCACCCCGCATCGCTGATGCACGCGCCCAATGGCGCCGAAGATGACGCCTCGGCATCCGAATCCTTCCAGCGGGAACAGGGCGTCGATCGGGATGCCGATTGGGGCGCGCGGGCACGGACTGATGCACTCCAGGGATCTTTCCTCCCTGTACAGACCGCGCGCGGACATCCGGTTCGTGAGCTCCTGTAACACGATGGCGGCACGTTCTGCGCTGCCACTGATGAAAAAGAAATTGTCCGCCAAGCACAAATGAATCCAGAATTCGCCCTGAAGGCGAATGCCCATGCCCCGGGTCTTCCACGAGGGCGCCAAAACAATCGAAATTCTTTGCGTGACCACATTCAATTTCACTGGCGCCTCAGGCGCGCCCTGTCGATCCGAAGAATTTCAGGGGGCGCGCGCGTCTTCCATGACGCCGTCGAACGCCACCCAATTTTCCGCGCACCGGCCTTCCCTTAGAAGGCAGCAGCGAGGCGGGGAGGCAGGCGGCAGGCCCCAAAAGATGTAGACACGATGGATGGGCGCATGTGAAAGCTCGCGCACGCCACCCATAACGACGCGAACAGGCACGCGGCCCGCACACTCAAAAGACTTACAATTCAGCATCCGTAAAACCTCCACGACATGGGTAAATGCCACACCCAGGGTAAAAAACAAATACGCAAAGATCACGGCGCATGAATACACGTGGCCCTTCCCTATGCCAGCGCATGCGCCACGGGAACACGCGTGCAAATTCTAAACAACGCTAGCGAGACGAATGCCCCACAACTGCAGCTTCGATTTCGCCCCGGAACAGGTGGCCAAAAATGCAACCGCCGCGCGGCGCCGCTCCTGAGCGGGCCCCCAAACCCCACCAGGTAAACGCGCACGAAAGAAATCGCCGATCTTGCAAAACACCTCTGCGGGAAGATGATTTACCATTTCGGATGTGACTTAATCTATTTCCGGGAAACTCCCGGCCTGCAGGGCAGACAGCCTGGCCGACGCGTCTGAGATGCGCATTTCCATATCCCGCGCACGTTCCAAACAGCTGGCGACGCAGGCAACGAGGTCGTCGTCCAACCAGCGCACGATATCGCGCCACATGCTGCCATCCTGAACTTGCGCACCGTCGGGGCCCTGCAGATACTCCAGAAGAGTCTGGTTCAGTCTAGACGCACTAGTAGCCGCAAGGGCATTATGTCGCAGAGCGCTGCGACTCCACTGCCTCGGAACATTCCGTCGAATTTCTCCGGCAGCACGGCCCTCAACATCCAGCTTTCTCACAGTGGCAACTGTTCGCCGGATTGCCGTGATCTCGACGAAGCAGTCGCGAAGGGGGGGTGGGCGCACTGGAAGCAATCGCCCCGGAAACGCCCCCCAACTCGGCGACGCCCTTGAGCGGTATTTCTGCAAATCTGCGCCCTTGACGCACCACCCCCGAACGCTGGCCCCCCGGAAAGCATAGCCGACGTTGCTGGAGGAACTGAAGATGACCACCATCAGCGGGAAGTGGTCGAGGCGACAACCAGACGGCGAGGTGAGCTCAGCCTGGTTCCTGATGGCAAACCTGGCGGTTAGGCGCAACAGCACGGTGATGCAATCATTTTCCCATCGCGCGCGATGAACACGATGGCCGCGCGTCGCATGGCCCGAATGATCGGCATACGTATAGGAACGGAGCGAATAATATGGTTCGAGAACTAAAAATGCTAACGTTCAAAATAAGGAGCCGAATCCCCAGACCCAGCAACACCTGGACAACTTGCGCTCGATGCGAGGAGAATGCGCGTTGAGATCGCCACAAAGCATATCATGCTTAACATGACAGACATAACGCAAATGCTGATGAACCTTATGTGCATCGCGGACTGCTGCTCGTAGTTCGGTTTGCACGCACCCCCGCAGCGGCAGGTAAATTGTGGCGACGCCAGTCGGTCCAAACGACATCCCGCAGCTGCTGATCCCTTCGTGGATGATATTGCTCGTGATGCTACTGGCCATCCAACTCGGAAAGACCAAAACTACGTGCGATTCGTTTGCGTGTCGAATCAGCCACCCCTGAAGCTCCCAATCTTCCGGCCAGTTCGACACTTCTTGTAAACCGATCACCGCGTTCGGGCTGTCGCACCACCGGCGGAGGCCATACGAAACATCTGGAAATTCGGCAAAACCGAATCTCCCACTATTCCACTGCAAGACCTGAGCACTTTCTGAAGGTAGAGGGCTCAGGGTGGAATCTAAATGGGCTTTTGCACCTCGAAAATCAATCCGTATTGTGATTCACTTGTGCAGATTCAAGTCTCGAGATTCCATCGGAACGGCATTTCAGAGTTCACTCTTTGCCCTCCACTCAAAGAAAAAGCTCGGATGACTTTTCATCCGTCGATATTCCCCAGGAGGCGGCCCCTGGGCAGGGACCGTCACGCGCGGCGAGGATCCCGTAGCGCATTCTAATGTCATCTGGGTATCCTTAGGTTGGGCTTGTCCCCCTACAGGGCTTTTTTGGGGCGAAAAATTAAACATA